TTAAGTGGGAAATCGCAGATGCAACATTTGTTCTGCAGAAGCGGGACTGCAGATGCGGTCCCAGGACCGCATATGCGAAAACTGCTGGGCATTATTTTTAAAAGGGGTTCCGCGACTTTGAGGTTTATTTCACCATTTTTATCTCGGCTTGGGAGCTTTTGGGACGATTTGAAAGAGGGATTTCAAGGGAACTTCATTGAGGTAAGGAATTTGGACCTAAAACTCGTTCCTATGCTATTATTTCACGGATTAGAGCTAGAAATTATAGAAATTAAGGGTGAAAATTTGGGGAAAACTAGGGCTTAGTATTGGAGACCTTTGAGCGATGATTTGAGGGACCATTTGAGGTTCGATTTTGGTAATTTTGGTATGCATGAACTCGTGAGAGTGTGAGAATTCTGAAAACATAAATTGTACCCAATTCCGAGACGTGGGCCTGAGGGGCATTTGGTTATTTTACCTAATTTCGCGTATTAGCTTAGAATTTAATTGTAGAATCAGTTACTTGAAGTGTTATTTACATTATGAAATTTAATTGAATAGATTTGGGCCATTTGGAGTCGAATACTCGTGGCAAGAACGTGGTTTCGGGTTGACATTTGAGTCGGTTCGAGGTAAGTGGCTTGTCTAACCTTGTGTTGGGGACTTTTTCCCCTTAGGATTGATAATGTGATAATTGAAATGCCTTGTACGTGAGGTGACGAGCCCTTACTTGTGCTAATTGTTGGAAGTCCGGTTTTATTTCATTAAAAATAGCTTTGAATTGTGTTCTTCTTTCTTGCTTACACTACTTGGAAATTTAGCCTGCTGTTAGTCTAGAGAAGCATGTCTACTTGACTAAATTGTTCTATTTTACTTAACTGCCTTATTTATATTACGTGAAGCATGCTAGGTTAGAATTATCTGCCTGACTTGGTATGAAATTGTTTGAAATGAGTTCTTGTTGCTGCTGTGTACTTACTTTGGGACTACGGGACTGTATCCCGGGAGCTCCCCTCTATGTTTACTTTGGGACTACGGAATTGCATTCCGGGAGATCCCCCTGCACTTTTACATTAGAACTACGGGATTGCACCCGGTAGATTTCCTAGTACTGAGTATTTATATTTGGGACTACGGATGTGGTATTCCGGTAGATCCCTGCGCATTTATGAGTTAGACTATGGGATTGCACCCGGGAGATCCACTGGATATGATATTTATACTTGGGGACTACAGGACGGTATCCTTGGAGATCCCCGGTTGTTATCTCGGAGCTGAGCTGTATTCTCTTTTTGTGTTTTACTTGCCTTTGTAATAGTTGTTGTTGTCCTTCATATCCTGTGTTACTTATTTACACTGTTTATTTCACACTTCTTAACCATATATCTTATTTACCCTCAGTAGGGCCCTGACTTTCCTCGTCGCGACCCAACCGAGGTTAGGCTTGGCACTTACTGAGTACCGCTGTGGTGTACTCATGCTTTTCCTGCGCATGTTTTTCATGTGCAGATCCAGGTACTTCGACTCAGTCCTACCACCCCTGAGGCGAGGCGACTGCTATAGAGACTTCGAGGTATATCTGGCGCGTCCGCAGTGAAAGTACAAGAGGGGGGGGGGTGAATTGTAAATATTTGAACTTAATTGCTTATTAGTTGACTTATTAATTGAGTAGTTGACTAGATATGATAATTCAGCAGATATTGTAAAGGGAAGTAAATTGCAGAAAGTAATGGCAGGAATTAAAGACACCAGGATTTTATACTGGTTCGGATTCAATGTGAATCCTAGTCCAGTCCCCTTGCGTTGCAAGGGAGTTCTCTTTAGTAAATGTGTTTCTCCGAGTACAGTTGTAGTGAATTTGCACACAGTTTCTCAAGCACTCGTTTTTGATGCAATGCCTCACCAGTGTTACGCTCTCTTTCTTTCCCTGACTTGTTACACAACAGATCTTAGCAAACTATAATGCTTGTTTGCAGTAGAACAAAGACAGGGTATAAATACTTTGATGGATGGTAGAGGCTTGACAACCCAAGAGATTTGATCCTTGGAAAGAATTGATTCTTTCCAAGAATTAGGTAGAGAGCCGTTGCGACTTCTTGATTTCCTTCCTTCAGCAGAGATACGAGTGAATACAGCTCCTTGATTGTTGGATCTTCTAAACTTAGTCGCGTACCAATATTCTAATATCTTTTGATCTTCCGTGATGCTGCCCTTGATTTGTGACTTAACTTAAGGCTTGATTGATTCTCTTCAGCTCAGCTAGTCGTTGCACTTTGCTGATTGATTTGTTGATTGGATTTCGTCCAGGTTTGTGAGTCCTTTCCTTAGTTGTCCAGATTGACTAATTGTATGGTAATCTTTGCTATTTGATTTCTTCCCTTATTCATCATGATTTACTTCAGCAGTCTTGAGGACTCTTCTTTACTTCTTGTAATTAATTTCTTGCACGTGTATATTATTTGCATCATTAAAACAGAATCTAGCAATCTCCCCCTTTTTGATGATGACAAAATAATATAGTAATGTAAAGAAGTAAACACCATTCGACTTCCCTGTGTTTTACTCCCCCTCAATGTATGCAGTCGACTTGACTAGTCCATGATACTCCCCCTCAATGTATGCAGTCGACTTGACTAGGTAACAGACCAGTCGACTTCTATTTCTTCACTGTGCCTGTACAGTATATATGGCTACCTGTACAATTTTTCTCCCCCTTTTTGTCATCAGCAAAGAGGGAATAATATGAGAACCGAAAAGATAGCATTAAAACGGAGGAGGTAAAGGGATTATCCAATGGCTGGTAAAGCATCCCACAAAAGCAGCACAGCAAAAAAAAAAATTATCCTAGGTCTTAAAACACAGCCAACAAGAGCAAATTGTCTAAAACAAACGACAGCAAAACGAATTGTCTTAAAAACAACAACAGCAGCGGCGCAGGAAATAGGTAAGGGTGTTGCAGATGGCCTCCTTTAACTGTTCGAAGCTTGCATTCGCAGAGATGCTCACACCATCCAGCCTTTCATGAATCTCCCTAAAAGCTTTGACATCATTCTCCCTCACTCTGAGAACAGCAACTCTAATTTTGACACGTCAGACCCTGTTTCCTTGGAAATAGCATGAATGTCACCAACAGTAGACTAAGTGGCGGTGAGAAGGTTCTTGATTTCAGAGATTTGGGAGTGAATAACACAAAGCTTGTCACTAAGCTCAGAACTGTCAAGATTAAGTGGGGGAACAACGGGAGAAGGGTTGGGTTCTACAGGGGCCTATTTTGCTTCACTCTCGCCTTTCTTAACCCAGGAGCCCTTGATATTTACATAGCCCATACTAGCAAAGGCTCTAGAATTGTAGGACTTGGAGACAGTGATGAATGGATAGTTGGACAGGGAAATATGATGGGCTTTCAGAATATGAGTGATTGCCATGCCATAGGGTAAACTAGTGGGATCTTCAGCACTTTCTATCATGAAATTGATAACCCAGGAGGAAAGCTTGATTTTGAGTTTGGTTACAAGGCAATAGACAAAGAATGTATCTCTTTGAGAGAAGGTTGAAAAAGAACCAGTACGGGGAAGCAAGGTGGTTGCCACAATGTGGGCCAGAACCCGTGTTTCAAAACTGACATCACTGGGGCCTAATTGGTTTGGAAGGGTTTTAGAGGGACACTCAACAATACACTGTTTGGCTTGGTCAAATAAAATTTCGAAGTCATCAGGCCAGATGTTTTTAAACAAAGTAGGAAAACCAGAACAACAACACTAAAAAAGTGAGTCAAATAGGGCACAATCAAGAACAATGCGCTGACCTAGCACCAGAGATTCCAACCTATCAGGTTTACTAGAACGAAGATTTGCATAACATTTTGACCAGGGGTTCATACACCTTAGGCGGAGGAATAGAGAGGAAATTTGCCCATCCTTGATAAACAAAAAGTTCTTTGACCTTGCAGTTAAGGGCTTCCATGTCATCAAGATCAACAACCCTCCCATGAGCAATGGGCTTGTCTTTTAGTGCAATAAAAAGATCCCTATTTGGGGAATCCCAGAAATTTAGGTTAGACTCAAGAGAGGCAGAGAAATCAACCTTTGATTTCTTTGGGGTGGACGAAATAAGGGGTTCTTCCATGGGTCGCTTGCCTAAAGCCTTTTCTCCTAGAAGTTGTGAGTGTTCAGAGAAATCTCCCTGAGATAAGGCGAAGGCTTCAGAGTGATCAGACCCTAGGTCTACTCGCTCAGGAGGCGCATAAGGGGTTTTTGCTCTGGAACGGGTACTCTTTCTGGTGGAAGCAGAAGGATTTTTGGAGTGTTTCGCCATTGTAGAGAAGCAGCTTTGATAGAAGCTTTTGGAGAATAGATGGAGATGAGAGTGATTGAAAGGGTTTTCTGTCTTAAGAAGAGGGTTTTGACGGTTGAGTACAGAAAAGAAAAAGTTGTCAGTTGAGAAGACATGATGGATGGCTTTCCATCTTCGAACTGCGAACTGATGTGAAAGAAGAGAAAAGAGAGGGAAAAAGCGGAGGCGTAATTAAAGCGTGGGAAAAGGACAATTATAGCAATTAAAAGTAACTGAAGTCACATAGGTNCAGAAGTGGTTTGGCAGTGAGTGTTCTAGTAGCATGGTTCTTGCCATATCTTGGAGGGTTCTATTTTTTCTTTCTACAACCCCATTTTGTTGTGGTGAGCATGGCGCAGAAAAATTATGAGTGTATCCCTGATCATTACAAAAGTCTTCAAATGCTCTGCTTTCAAATTCTCCTCCATGGTCACTCTGAATTGTCGAAATCAAATGTCCCCTTTCTCTTTCAACCCTTTTGCAGAAAACTTCAAAATTTCTTAAGGCTTTATCCTTATGAGACAACAACATTACCCAAGTGAAACGTGAATAATCATCAACAATAACAAAAGCATACCTCTTACCTCCTATGCTAACAGTTCGAGTAGGCCCAAATAAATCCATATGAAGTAATGCAAAGGTTTTGAAGTAGACACTATGTCTTTATTTTTGAAAGAATTTCTGGTCTACTTACCCATTTGACATGCATCACAAATATGAGTTCTAGAAAAATTCAATTTGGGCAAACCAATAACTAATTCATGTTTGGACAGTTTTTCAATCAAGTGCATGCTAGCATGACCAAGTCTCTTATGCCATAGCCATGGATCATCAAACATAGAGGATAAACACATATGACCATCTATCTTTTCAAAACCATCAAGCATATAAACATTTCCATACCTTTTTCCAGGAAGATTTATCTTACCTGATTCGTTTTCATGGGCACATCCTGTTTTTTTAAACTTTACCTCATAGCCTGAGTTGCATAGTTGACTTATGCTCAAGAGATTGTAGTTTAGGCCATCGACGAGATAAACTTCAGTAATGTCACAATTGTTATTAAAGGGAATTGTTCCAGTACCAACTATTTTGCCCCTTGAATCGTCCCCAAATTTAACACTTCCTCCATCGATTTTTGTAACTTCTTTGAACAGGTTATTGTCACCTGTCATATGACTGGAACACGCACTGTTTAGATACCATTTTTCTTTACGGCTTACTCTGTGGTGTTCCTGCAAGACATGATGATTACTTTCTTTTAGGTACCCAAGCTTGCTTGGGTCCTGGAGGGTTAATGTTTCTAGGTTCAGAACTTTTTGGTTTCCAAACCCATCCTGACACAGTTGATTTACGAAAATGACAAAAGGAATATTTATGCCCATTTTTATTGCAGTAATGACACTTAACTTCAGACCCACTTATAGGTTTTTCATAAGTGTTGGAACTAGCTGACTTGGCTTTAGCTGGTTCTTTCCCAGTTGACTTGTAAGTCGTTTGGTTTGACCTAACAGAACTGTGACTGGTGGATTTGCGCAAGCTGTTGAGCTGCATTTGCAAATCCTCAAACTCTTCTTGAAGTACTTCCTTTTCGATTTCACTTACTTCATGTTTGAGTTTCCAGTCTTTAACCTCCCTAGTGAGTCTCTTAAGTTCATTCATCACTTTTTTGAGACTCTTTCAAAGTTGAATCAAGGATATCCTGCAATTCATTACATCTTTCACAGTCATAAGATCTTACCTCACTAGTTTCACCTCGTACCATGAAACAATTTTCATTCTCGTCATCTGAATCATCTTCATCTGTCCAGTATCCTGAAGTTTTGTTCATTTCATTTTCCAGAATTATCATGAAGCAAAGATTTGCTATTTCTTCATGGTCAGAGTCATCCTCATCGCTCCAGCTTCCGAAGGATTTGTTCTTGTTGAAACCTCTAGAGATCTTCCTCTTCAGTTCTGGGTATTCAGCTTGAATATGTCCAAATTTTCCACATTCGCAGCATTTTCCATCGTTCTTATCCTGTTCGTTGTATTGCCTGGATCGTCTTGGTGGGAATCTTCCTTTCTTTTTGTTCCTGTATCTTCTCATCAGCCCATCCATATTTCTAGACATCATAGCAATCTCTTCTTGCAGAGCTTCAGGATCATCAATGTCATTCTCAACCATTTCAGTAGAGGTTTTAAATGCAACTATTTTCTTTTTCTCCTCTTGATTTGTCTTTTTTAGATGCGTCCTTTCAAAAGCAATGAGTTCTCGTCGTAGTTCATCATAGGATAATTTGTTTAGGTCTTGAGATTCTAGTGTGACTACTTTGGTCTGCCAAGTGGTTGGCAGACTTCTGAGAATTTTTCTGACTTGATCACCACTGGTGTAGGGCTTGCCAAACACCTTTAAGTCACTAATTATTTTGCTAAACCTGGCAAACATCTCTTCAATAGATTCTCCTTCTTTCATTGAGAAGAGTTCGTAATCATGAACCAGCATGTTGATATGTTTTTCCTTTTCTTTGCTGGTTCCCTCATAGGTGACCTCAAGTTTGTCCCACATCTCTTTGGATGTGTCACAACTTGATATTTTCTCGTATTCTTCACCACTTATAGCGTTATGAGGCAGATTTCTCGCCTTATTGTTCACTTGTACCGCTTCCAATTGCTCCTTTGAGTATGAATCTATATCTTCAGGGTCGGCAAGTGGTGGAGTCCTAGCTGGTAGGGGATAATTTCCCTTTTTGATGACCCTCCAGACTTTGACATCGTAAGCTTTAGAAAAGATTTCCATTCGTACTTTCTAGTGAGAGAAATGTTGTCCATTGAAGTATGGTGGTCTAACTTATAAAGTTCCTTCCTAAAAAGAGCTCCTATGATAACCTGATTTGCCATGATCTTTTCTCACACGGTGTTAAAAAAAAAGTAAAATGTGAGCCTTGCTCTGATACCAATTGAAAGTACAAGGGGGGGGGGTGAATTGTAAATATTTGAACTTAATTGCTTATTAGTTGACTTATTAATTGAGTAGTCGACTAGATATTATAATTCAACAGATATAGTAAAGGGAAGTAAATTGCAGAAAGTAATGGCAGGAATTAAAGACACCAGGATTTTATACTGGTTCGGATTCAATGTGAATCTTAGTCCAGTCCCCTTGGGTTGCAAGGGAGTTCTCTTTAGTAAATGTGTTTCTCCGAGTACAGTTGTAGTGAATTTGCACACAGTTTCTCAAGCACTCGTTTTTGATACAATGCCTCACCGGTGTTATGCTCTCTTTCTTTCCCTGACTTGTTACACAGCAGATCATAGTGAACTACAATGCTTGTTTGTAGTAGAACAAAGAGAGTGATTTTGGTTCGATCAAAGTATGTGAGACTAGGGTTTAAGACGGGGTATAAATACTTTGATGGATGGTAGAGGCTTGACAACCCAAGAGATTTGATCCTTGGAAAGAATTGATTCTTTCCAAGAATAAGGTAGAGAGCCATTGCGACTTCTTGATTTCCTTCCTTCAGCAGAGATACGAGTGAAGACTGCTCCTTGATTGTTGGATCTTCCAAATTTAGTCGCGTACCAATCTTCTCATATCTTTCGATCTTCCGTGATGCTGCCCTTGATTTGTGCCTTAACTTAAGGCTTGATTGATTCTCTTCAGCTCAGCTAGTAGTTGCTCTTTGCTGATTGATTTGTTGATTGGATTTCGTCCAGATTTGCGAGTCCTTTCCTTAGTTGTCCAGATTGACTGATTGTATGGTAATCTTTGCTATTTGATTTCTTCCCTTATTCATCATGATTTACTTCAGCAGTCTTGAGGGCTCTTCTTTACTTCTTGTAATTGATTTCCTGCACATGTATATTATTTGCATCATTAAAACAGAATCTAGCACGCATACCGAGGAGTCTCTTTCTACTCTTACTGTTTAGTATTAGCCCTTCTGTATTTCAGTTTTTGTTAGACATTCTGGAGTTAGAGCTATGTAGTACTTCTTAGCTTGTGATTCATGGGTTTTCGGGTCTTCGATTCATGTATTAGTTTTTGAGAGATTAATGTTGTGTATGCCAGGCGGCACTCTTAAACGTTGCTTATTTACTCTACCTCTGTTTTAACTTGGTTTTCTTCCGCAAATTTGGTTTATTTTCCGCATTTTATGCTTACCTAGTCGTAGAGACTAGGTGCCGTCACGATGGTTCACGGAGGGCGAACCGGGGTCGTGACAGCCATCTTCCACCAAACTCGAAACTGGGTCACTTTGAGATAAAGTTACTGTCTTGTACAGACGTACAATTATAAAAATGAGGAGCTGGTCCTTTATCCTGAGGAGCTGGTTCCGTGGAACAATTTAGCAGCTACGTTGAGGATCTGATTCTTTGAATTATTGCATTTAGACATACTTTGTTAATAATAAAAACCTCAATACTCAACACGCATGATTTTGTAAAAGAAACCATGTTTGTTTTATTCATAATTATATATGGATTTAGAATTTTAAGTTAATGAGTTCGGAGTATCATTAAACTCATAATCAAGTCGTGCAGACCAATTACACTTATGTATTTTTCTTGATATATATATATATATATATATATATGTATGTTTCGAGTAAAAACAGTGAATGCACCCAAGTACGTCACACCCCTCCACACAATCATGCTTCAATTGGTTTTTGACCAAACCATCACATAAAGCTATTCCTAGTACAACTTTGATCACCGCAAGACCTTGTTATGTACTACAAATCTTATCCCTTCAAATTCAAGTCAAAATCCTTCTCCCCTTCATCTGTTTTGTCTCTCTCAATTCCCACTTCAAACAACTGAGAAAGCTACCTGTAAGGAGAGAAGTCCATGTCATGCACATCTTCTTCTACCTCTGCTTTGTCCACAAATAGTATGATCATTAAAATACATTTGAACTTATATGTCTTATTCTCAAGAAAAATTAACTATCTACATTCATTTAAGCTTTTGCAGAGTCTAGAATTTTAGCAATTTCACATAAACCATCATAGAAAGGCATGAAAACATAACTTAGTAAGATATAATTGTGTTGTCAGTATTTTTGACAGTTAAGTGTCGCCATACAAGGTTGTTGCAGAATGTAAATTTTTAGAGGTCAAATGGTTAGAGGATTATCACTTAAATTGTTCAGAAGCTACATGATTAACTAGAGGACTATAAACTCTTTCCAAATAAAAAGAATTCACCCTATAAAAACCAAGACATGCATATAAATGCTTGTATTGCAGAGACTAATTAACAAAAATGGCTTCATTTTCCAATCCCATTACCACCACCACCACCTTTATTATCTTGATACTAAGTCTTACATCCTTGTTCAACAACTTAACAGCCAAAAATGGTCACAAAACCGCCCTGCTCCATAATCGTCGTGGCCATTCTTCCTCCATTAAAGCTATAACAAATCCAAGGCTCCATCAAGCCTACATTGCTCTACAGGCTTGGAAGCGCGTAATTTACTCTGATCCTAACAATTTAACTACCAATTGGATAGGTCCTTCAGTTTGCAATTACACAGGAGTTTACTGCTCAAAACTTCCTAATGACACAAAAATCCAAGTTGTTGCTGGCATTGATTTAAACCATGCTGATATAGCCGGTTTCTTGCCTGATGAACTTGGCCTTCTCAATGACTTAGCATTGCTTCACCTAAACAGTAATCGTTTTTGTGGAATCCTTCCGCTCACTTTATCCAATCTAACTCTCTTATATGAGCTTGATCTTAGTAACAACAGGTTTGTAGGTCCTTTCCCTTCTGTCGTCCTGTCTCTTCCTTCGTTAAAGTATCTTGATCTTCGTTACAATGAATTCGAAGGGCCATTGCCTTCTCAACTCTTTAGCAAGAATCTTGATGCCATTTTCGTTAACAACAATCGTCTCACGTCTATAATCCCATCAAATTTAGGCTCAAGCTCAGCTTCTGTTATTGTTTTCGCGAATAACTTCTTTGGGGGTCAACTTCCACTTAGCATAGCCAACTTTGCAAACACATTAGAAGAATTACTCCTAATTAATACTAGTTTAACAGGCTGTTTGCCACCTGAAGTTGGATTCTTGTACAAGTTAAGAGTGCTAGATGTGAGCAATAACAAATTAGTAGGGCCAATTCCTTATACTATAGCAGGGTTAGCTCATTTGGAGATGCTAAATGTAGCACATAATAGGATGAGTGGAATTGTGCAAGAAGGAATATGTGCTTTGCCTAATCTGTCAAACTTCACATTCTCTTATAACTATTTCTGTGAGGAGCAAGGCATTTGTAGCAACTTGACATCAAAGGGCATTGTGTCCGATGATCGTCGGAACTGTCTACCAGATAAGCCTCTTCAAAGAAGCAAGAAGGATTGTGAAGCTGTGAATGAGAATCCAGTTGAGTGTTTCTAACTTCATTGTGGTTGTTGATGTTGTTATTCATAGTGGTTTTGTTCCTCCTGATATTTGCTTCTGTCCTAGCTTCCTAGCTTTAAATTTTTATTGTTTCTTTTTCTATTCAAATGAACCAAAAAAGGGTAAAGGAAGTGTCTTAATACAAATTATGGAATAATGTAAATATTGGTTTAAAGCAAACAGTGTAAATCTGGTGTGTATTGAAGCTTGTACATATTGGTTTGAAATTTTCATTCATGTTTGTATGTGGTACTAGCAGCTTGTTGCTACCAAATGCACACGCAAGTATACGTGGTCGTACAAGTAATATATGATTGTAAGTCCAAATATCGTTCCTACAGGGACTTGTGATTAACTATCAACAACCCAAACAATTAATCTATTCAAGTGAATCCTAAAATATAAATAATTAACTCAAACTAATCTAGAGTAACAAACCAAGAGATTAAAGGAATAAATTGGCGAATATTAGAGACGAATTCAATGAGAGGCAATATTCTAGAGCTATGGATTAGCTAACAATCCCGTTGAGTTTTCTACCTAAAATGTCTAATTAATTTATCTAGTTTATTGATTGATATTGTTAATATTACTCGTAGCCTTCTCCCGAAGTACTACTTGCCTATTCAAGCTAACCTAATGCCTATATTCCTATGAAATTAGGATTAACAAGAACGCATTAATAACTCCCATATAATAACCAAGCAAGATGATTAGGTATAACCCTATCCTAACCACAAATCCGTTTCCGATGCATCGAGTTCAAGATCTTGCTCTATTCAATCTTATATGAATCTAAAATTCCCTCTCCCGAGTTCAATCCTAGATTCGCAGATACTATTCAATTGGTGATCAAGTAATCAAATAATAAGGGCAAGATTGAATAAATAAACCAATATGATAAAATAATAAGAACAATTCAAGCTTCAAACTGCAACGTTCATGTAGCACCGAAAACTCTAGAACTAATAACTATAAAGTTAAAGGAAGAGAAGAGAAGAAAACTAGTTAGAAGCCTCCTCCAAGTGTGATTTTTGTTCTCCCCCGTGAATTCTCCTTCAAAGTGTGTTAGATCCCCTCCAAATTAGGTTTAGAACTCCTTTTATACGAGTTGGGATCATGTAGGGCCAAAATAACCTTATCCTGGACGAAGTAGGAAAATCCCGCAACCGCAGCGTCCAGACCAGCGCCTCGCACTGGCCTTAGCGCGGGAGGCAGAATGTTTTGCCTAATTTTGCAATTCCGTTCTTGACTTTAAATTGTTTTCCCCTTTTCTTTTTGTCATACACTTCGGGGGACAAACACCAAAGGGTGTTCCCCCCTTGTCTTTTTTATTTATTTTCCTTCTTTTTTCTTCCGCGCTTTATTTAATTTTGCTCCAAATCT